ACAACACACATGATAAAAGAAAATACTGGATGTGAGAAGTGACAACCACCATGCGCTACCACACGCAAACAAGTTGCCCGTCCCTACTCTTCACATTGATCAAAAAAAATTTCTGAAGGCGTATTGAGCGACACGAGCAGGATTTGAACCTGCGCGGGCAGAGCCCATCAGATTTCGAGTCTGACGCCTTAACCACTCGGCCATCGTGTCCACACGTGATGATAGGTCTAGACTTTTACTCATAGAGTACTCCACATTGAGAACAGCTCTACGAATATTTGTTAAGATATCCAACCTTACTGTTCTAGCAGACTTTTAACAGCAATGCTCTCAAAACAAAATATTTTATTTAGCCACAACACAAAGGAACGTACAAAGAAATAGACATAGAAGATCGCTAAACCACAACTCTCACAACTCCATTCATTGCCAAAATCGCAATGGCCAACACACCCTTGACAGCCTCATCTTCCACTTCTCCCAGTTTAATACTCTCCCAAGCCGCCCGCAACAGTTTTTCACTCGCACGAGGCCGACGACGGCGGTGTCGGCGGGTTTGAGGTGGTGTGAGAAGGGTAGACACGGATAAAAGATCTTTTGCTGTGAGAGGTTCAAAAGGTTTTGAGAAGGTTGGGTATGTGGGTGGCAGAACAACAGAGTGAACTTGGAGGCGGGGATTCCAAGAAGAGGGATATGTAGATCCAGAGGGGTTACAGGCTGAAATGCGTAGTTGTGGTGAGAGGACAGAAACGGGTGTTGTGTCAGTGGGTTTACGGCAGAGTGGAACATGGGTCGCGGCAGGTGCTGCGCTAACAAATGCGTCGATGGGTTGGGCAGGAATGGCAGGGGTAGGGACGGGTGTAGTGGGTTTCTCGGTCTGCGCTGTGGGCGTAACAACTAGTTTTTCGGCCAACAGAGTGCGGAGCTGTTCCAGCTCCTCCTTTAAGCCCGCATTCTCTTGTTCAACTTGTGCAACCCGCTCAGCCAGTTGAGCTTTCTCGTCCTTGAGCTGCTTGACCTCCTCCTCGAGAGTGGTGACATATTCCTTGCGACGAACTCTGAAATTTCTTGCAGAAATCTTGTTTCGAATCTGCCGTTTCTCCTTTGGAGTGATACTCTCGTCGCGTTCCAGTTCATCGATAAAGGAGCGAAGCTCCTCCAATGTGGTACCAACATGAGCAATTGAGTATTTCTCATTCTTGGCTTTTTCGTCCTGTGATTCGGACGCGTCATCGTCGGCTGTTGTCCGACGCCGTTTTTTACCATTAGCACGGCGCGCGCGTTTTTTCGTGTCCTCTGCGTCCTTTTCCATTGGGGGCGTGGAGGGTTGATAAGGTTCGGATGCAAAGGAAGAAGAAGACGCGTCGTTCGGGGAGAGCGACGCTTCCGGTTTCACATCCACGGCGAGAGACGGATCCAAGGTCAGCGCGGGTACTACGCTGTCATTCTGGGCCTCGCTCAAAGGTCCCTGCTGCTCTCCAGCCCAGAGCTCCTCCAAAGGATGTTTAACAGCAAATACAGAAGGGTCAACCGCCCACCCGTGCTCGGCGCTTTCAAAATCCATCAACTGCTGGAGCGTGGTCTCTGCTTCCGTACGTTCCGGCTGTTCCGGCTGAGCATCGACATAGAGGTTTGGAGAATCTAACGTCAGGTCGAGGGGAGGCAGCAACAGGTCCTGCCCAGGTAGCTGTTGCGCTTGCTGCGCATCCAACTGCGCACCAAGATTGAGAAATTCGTCAAAGTCCACGTCAAAAGCCGAGTGCTGTTCTTGAGCCATTTGTCCAACACAGTGGTTCAACAAAGTCCTCTGCTCTTCTTTCTCGTTGTGCGTACGTTGCCAAAAGGTTGATTTCGTTGTAATGGATGAAGGGGATGGCGATAAACAACAACAAAAAGATGGTGACGTGTCCAAGTTGCGTTTTTCCGCTTGGGATCCGACGTACATTCCAGTGCATTTTATGGCTGCAATGTACTATTGCTGGTTCCAAGGCTGTATCGGAGCCAAAGATAAACAAATGCAAGCAACACACGACTTGTAAGATCGGGATATGCAAATGATACGATAAATCTTGTTAGATAAAAGTGGCAATTGTTGGGCGATCTACAGAAACGCTCATGTCCGACGTTTACATCTCTTGAGGACGGTACAAGTACGTTAAGATCACCCCAAGCAAAGATACCCGCTGGACATTACGCATACAAGTACGCACACAAGACATTGTATCCACCATCCCACTTGTCCATTTGGACAATTGCTCGTCTAGACAACATTGATAAAACACCATAGCAAGTTGTCACATTGCCCTGCTCTGCTTGCCAGCACAGCAGTCGATGCAAATGGGCCCGGCGCTGCAACCAAAACAATCCAAAAGGTTTTCCATAATCGAGTCATAATGACTTCATATCAGTCATGTGATTCAACTGGTGCACGTGCCATATTCATTTACCAGCTTGTTCCCTTTTCTGGCGGCGGTTTCCATAAATAGCAGTTAAATCCATTTATAGTTACATTTATTCATTTATCCAAAAAGAGTTACATTCATCATATATCCATATATAGTTATGGATACACACGGGAATGACAAGCGTCACACACGGGAACACAGGCTTGGGTATTATATAAGGACGCATCTTGGGCAGGTTTTTTGGAGATTCCGCCATTTGTCCAGCGTCGTCATTGGATTTACTTTTGGTTTTATTTCATATTATTCTTGCACATTATTCAGAGAATGCTCTCGTCGGCTCCTGCGTCGGTCTTGGGGGAGGCATCGCGCCCGGTCGCTCCTATCCGTCCCTACACGTCCGAGGACGTCATGACCCTCGAAAACACCTATGGCGCTCACAATTATCATCCCATTCCCATCGTCTTTAGTGAGGGCAAGGGCGCTCATGTATGGGACCCAGAGGGGCGCAAGTACCTCGATTTCTTGTCGGCGTATTCCGCTGTGAACCAAGGGCATTGTCATCCAAAGATTGTCGGCGCTCTCGTCGAGCAGGCTCAAAAGTTGACCTTGTCCTCACGCGCGTTTTACAATGATGTCTTTGGGAGGTTTGCCAAATACATTACAGAGGTAGGTGGTAGAGAAAGTCTGGCGGTAGAGGGCAAAAGATGGGCATCACACAAATCCGGAAATTTGGCATGTCGCCGTATAGAATATTGTGTGATACGGTGACAAGAGCAACATTCTTGAATCACAAACAACCAACTCACCATCATTCTCTCTAGTACTTTGGCTACGATATGGTCCTCCCGATGAACACAGGCGCTGAAGGTGTCGAGACTGCGCTCAAGCTCGCGCGTAAATGGGGTTACCTAAAGGTTGGTCACGTGATGTTTCCGATCACTTTGTTCGTCCATCAACTCACACAAGCTTGGATTTTACAGAAGGGAATCCCAGAAGGGAAGGCCTTTATCCTATCTTGCACGGGCAATTTCCACGGACGAACTCTAGGTGTCATTTCCATGTCCACCGATCGAGACGCCACAAAGGACTTTGGTCCCTTTGTCCCAAACATCAGCTGCACTACACCAACAGGCATCACAGTCCGCTACAACAACCTTGACGACCTCGAACGGGCTCTGGAATCATACGGACAATACACGGCCGCATTCCTTGTTGAGCCAATCCAAGGTGAAGCCGGGATCTTTGTCCCAGACGAGGGATATCTGTCCAAGGCCCACGCACTCTGCAAAAAGTACAATGTCCTTTTCATTGCCGATGAAATCCAGACTGGACTCGCAAGAACGGGGAAACTCCTCGCGATCGATTATGAGGACATCAAGGCTGATATCCTTATCCTCGGCAAAGCACTCTCGGGAGGTGTTTATCCCGTCAGCTGCGTCCTCGCCTCTCAAGAGATCATGCTCTGCATCCAACCAGGTGAACATGGTTCCACATATGGTGGGAACCCGCTTGGTTCGGCAGTCGCTATGGCAGCTCTTCAAGTCATCAAGGAAGAGCGCCTCGCGGAACGCGCTTACGATCTCGGCGTCAAATTCCGCGCAGCGCTCTCCAACCTCAACAGCCCACTCATCTCGACCGTCCGCGGTCGAGGTCTCCTAAATGCTATCGTGATTGATGAATCCAAGTTTGACAAAACAGCATGGCACATCTGCCTCCTTTTGAAACAGTACGGCCTCCTTGCCAAACCGACACACCAAAACATTATTCGGTTGGCGCCGCCGTTGTGCATCACCGAGGAGGAGTTGATGGAAGGGGTGGAGATCATTGGACGGGCGCTGAAAGAGGTGACGAGCCTACGAGTCGAGGACATTCCAGGTTGGGATTTGTGATTCGTTGGTGGATGGGTGGGTAGGTTCATCGGAATGTAGTGTGTGCGTATTTTTTAATTACATCACATCATGTTTTCTCTATTCAACTTCGTAAATTATCTGATAGAAAGAGCGAGAAAAGCATCTGCATGGTGGTTTGTAGTGAATAGCCAAAGCCACTTTATTTGATGCAAAATGTACAAAAAAAAATAGAAAATGAAAAGCAATGCTACAGATCACATCCCATTAATGTCTGACTGGGCGAGATTCCAAACTTTTTCCAAAATTCCCTGGTGTCAATGGCTCGACCCAAGGACTCTGCGGGTCTCGGTAGCCCTTTCACTCCATGCTCTTCCAAAAGTTGACCAACCCACTCAGGTTGTTCGCCTGCCGTTCCCCACGCTCCAGCCAAATCCCACCAATCATACACCCGCATGTCTGAAAGCAACCATCGCTCTCCCGGCGTAAATTTCTTATAAACAGCCAACACTGCTCTGGCAACGTCCTTGCCATGTACCAGATGCAACGACCCTTTGGACTCTAACGCAGCTTTGGTGCTAGCGACACGGCCAAGCCAGTTGCGGGGTTGCCGCTCTCCACCCCAGAGCCCCGCCAGATTAAGCACACATCCGCCGCATGCGAGAAGGGCGTTCTCGGCATCCACGCGGGGTACATCTGTATTTGGGTCGGGGGGAGTGTGTCTGTCGACCCAGACGCCCGTTGCTGCAGTGGGTCCAGGGTTCCATGCTCGCGTACTCCCAAACAAAATGTACTTTGGGACACAGTCATGTGTTTCCGCATAGAATCCCGTCAATCGCTTCATGGCTTCCCCACCCCGCACAGGAAACGTCACAAGTACCATCTTTGCATCCGGAAGCACTGCAAACAGTGTGCTGTCCGTCGAGTCAGGAAGAAAGGTAAATGGGATTGTCCCGTCTCGGCCATTAGTGGTCGTCCCCGCGTAAGTGATGCCTAATGTCGTAAGGAGGTCAGCGACGTACCGGCCACTCCAGCCGAGACCGAGGATGAGAATGTCGACCGGTGGGTGTGGGGACATTTGCCGAGTGGGTGAAATGGAAGACGTCAAGAATGGAAAGCAACTGCAGCCCATTGTTGTCGAAAACTTACGTTTTCAAGCATGGTGTCAGAGCTGTAGTTTCGGACACGTTCGGACGTCGCGTGGCTTGCCAGCGTTGGGCTTTGCTTACCACCATTTGCCTAGACATTTTCCATTCCAATTTTTAGCATTGTCTTTGTTTACACCACACGCACCGTACTCACTTTTCCTCTTCCCGCGACCCTCGTTGGACGCCAGGTATCCCGCCAATGCTCGCGAAATGCGCCAACCCATCCAAGCCTACCCGCTCGAAGCAACAAGCCCTTCGCGTCCTCGTCCGGGTACGACCGCCCTTTCCAGAGGATGCCAGAGTGGCGGCTGTGGTGGGAGGAAATACAGTGACGATACCGAACCCATATCATGATAATGGGACAAAATCGTATAGGTGGGTCAACCCGTGTCGCATGGCATTATGACCTTATTGACCTGTGTTATATCAGTTTTGACAAGGTATTTAAAAGTGATGCGACGCAGGTCGCCGTATTCGAGCAAGTGGAAATCCTACTACGAGATGTCTTTGAAGGTAAATCTAGCGTTTCCGCTCCCATAGCATTCTTACCGATCTAAGATATGATTCCAGGGCGAAATGCAACTGGTAAAGCGATGTAAAATACTTGTGGCCTCTCACCCAAAACTCACTCCCGCATAGTCTTTGCATACGGCCAAACCGGTAGCGGGAAAACACATACCATGAATGCCTACACGCTCTCTGGGCCCGCACCCAACCCCATCATTACGTTGAACCGAACGGATGCAGGAATTACGTATCGGGCTGTGGATTGGATATTTGACCATATCAAGCGTACTGGAGTGAATGCGACTGTGTCTGCGTCGTTTATTGAAATGTGAGTCGAAGTTGATAGAGTTGGGCGGACATCATCTGATTGGCTTGGATTTCAGCTACAATGATGAGGTTTACGACTTGCTCCCTCAGACGGCTGTAAGAGACATTTGATAAGTCTATTGAATCCAATGAACGGATTCTAACATGCCGCATAAAAGTCATCAGGAGAGCTTAAAAAGCTCAAAATCATGACAGCCAATAGAAAGGTCACGGTGCAGGGACTTTCGGAAGAGGTGGTATCCAATTCAGAAGAGTTTGAGGAATCGTTTGCGTACGTTGGGTGCATTTTTCTACCTTTACACGGTGATACATGGTTGATTCTTTTTTTTACAGCGTGGCGCTCCGTCATCGCACGACAGCAGGAACGAAATTGAACGTTGCATCCTCGCGATCTCATTTCATGGTCCAACTAACCGTCCGCGTCACATCGTCCGAACACGTCCTCACATCCAAACTCTCACTCATCGATCTCGTACGTACACAATAATGACTTTTATCCATCGTCTATTGACGCTTTTCATATAGGCTGGCTCGGAAGATAATAGGTACACTGGTGAGGAAGACCTGTTGTGAACAGAGCTGGAACAAAGAACTGATTCGAATGCAGGAAACGAGGGAGAACGGTTTGAGGAGAGTCGGCATATCAATGCATCGCTTTTTGCGATTCGGTCGGTGAGTTTTCAGAGTTTGTTGTGCACCCTTTGATGTGTATTGATTTATTCAAAGGTGGTTTCAGGTACGTCTCTGTGAGAGTCGTGATGGCTTTTCAGTATTTTGATGTTGTATTTCAGCATTAAAGGAAAACAAGTCTCAAGTACCCTACCGGTACGTACCACCTTCGCCGATCTCTATTTACATACCCTAACCTTCATAATAGAAACTCGAAAATCACGCAATTGTTGTGCGATTCACTTGGCGGAACGGCCAGTGCGCTGGTAGGTGCTCCAGGTTGCAATCATTGCCTGTCATGCCGTTCATGAACTGGTTTTTTAGGCGGTGATTTGCTGTGCGCCAGAATGGGTATGTACACCCTTATAGAAAAGGAGTTGTCCATCCCACTGATCTTGTACTTTAGGATAATCTGCAACCGACCCACAAGTGAGTCCCACTGTGAGCGTCATCGACTGACGGGTACCTGACGCATCGTTGCAGCTCCCTCGAATTTGCAAAAGACTGCTGTTTCATTAAAAACTGTGTTCAAGTCAATGAGACACGACGTGAGTATTCGTCCAATCTTCACTGTATCTTTGTCTTATATTTGGTTCAGGGAAGTCGCGACCGAGCGATCACAGCAAAGAGAAAAAGGAGGAGACTGTCAAAAAACGAGACGAAAAGGAGAACGAACCGGTTGCGCCTGGGTTAACATTGGAGAGTGTTGAACAGCTGATTAAGCCCATGGTGGAGGTAAACTTTTTGAAATACCCCCTTCACGTTCAGATTCTTAACTCTTTTATTTTTAGAAAATGTTGGCCGAAAAACAACGTGACGCTGCTCAAATCTCCTCCCGATCACGCCAAGACCTCATTGACAGAATCCTCTCGGTCATGAACGGCGACGTCAAACAGTTGCGAGCGCTAAAGTTTGTGGGCGAGAAGCGCGCCAGCAAGATTCTGGAGGCGCGGAGAAATGGGGTGTTTGAGTCGGTACGGAGTCATTCGGTGCTTTGGTGGTATATGGAGCATTTTGGTATATTAATGGGTTATTGCAGATACAAGATTTACAGAGAATTGGGTTTTCGACGGATTTGTTGAATACGATTCTTCAGGTCTGGTCTCAATTGTTCATTCACTGAGATGTAGATGCTAATGTTACTCGTCCTTGTGCAGGTGAATTTCCAGATACCCATGAACCTTGTATAGTTGTATAGTATGTAGAATTGCATTATCTTGTGGTAGAGAGGACTGTGTGCATAGAGGATTTTTATATTTCAGAATGGTCGTGACTTTTTTTTGGGGAGGAGGTTTT